CTCAGTGTTCTTTACTGTCTACTAAGAGTCAATTTAAAGGAAATATTGGATGTTAGGCAACCACTGTGCATTAAATATATCAAGCCAGATGTAGTGCAAAACATACCTGTGCACTTACTACCAGATCACAGAGTGGGGATACTTCCTCCAGCAGCAACATCATCATTAAGTAATGCTTCAACACTTGAGCCCACCATGAAGCCAGAAACCAATTTAGCCCTGTGTTGGAGGCTAAGCAATGGAGCTGTAGGAGAGCTGGATGTGACTGGGGATATTTGTTTTGATACTTTTCAGTTTTACTCAGGAGTAAAGCTCACATAGATATATTTCTCTGACCTTTTTGTATTTGATTTTCGAACAACAAAGTCTGGAAAACAAAATATATTGCAGGTCTCTGCTAATATTATGTGTAGACTAATAAATCAACATTGACACATGCTGTAAAATCATGTTTTTATTTACTATATTCAGGTAAAATATTCATCATTTTCTGATTACTTTACACATGTTGATTTTTCTGGGGACTGCCACTAGTATACAAAAGTGCTTGTTAATAAACTGCAGTGATGTGGTTACAGTAGTGGCAAAAATCACCTTTGTTAATCATTGCACACCATTTCCTGTTATCAAAGAGGGAGAATAAACTGACCTTGCAACTTTGCATTCACTTGTCTTTGAGAGTGGAATCACTTCTTTTATCTGCAGAGGAAATCAAACAGCAGTCATTCCAGCCATCCATTATCTATACCATTATCCATATCTTTTCCCATTTGGGTTCGCAGGGGGTTGGAGTCATTGAGTAGAGTCAACACTAAACCCAGCAAGCATGCCTTTGACTGCAGGAAGCCGGAGTACCACCACACGCACAGGGAAAAGATGCAAACTCCACACAGACGGGGATTCGAACCAGGAACCATCTAGCTTTAATTCAACAGTGTTAACCACTGCAGCACTATGCAGCCTCATTGTATTATCTTTACGTAGCATATTGGACATGAAAACACTTGATGATTACAATTTGGTTTGACATTTTTATAGAATTTACCACATATGGAATAATACTTCTTGATATACTGAGTGTGTTTACAAAAGCCTATTTTTCAGCCCGTTGTTTTTGCATAAAATGGGGGAGGGCAGTCTCATGTGTAAACAGATTGAGGTTACAGTGAGTGTGAAAGTGAAAAAGGGGTGATCTAGTGTGGGCTACACGAGATGATGCTCGGGTTCCTCTCATGCACCTAATAGCTGCTGAGTGACTTAAAGGGAGGCGCAAATTCGAGGGATTTATCACACGCTGGATGGGAGCTGATGTGTAAAGAGACCTTTGAGGGAACCTTCACAGCAGTCATAAATCTGGATTCATGCATGAAACCACAAAAACATATTTATCTCTCATATCAACACGAGAAATTATCTGTAAAATGTGATGGAACAGACCAGAGCCCATTCCACGGATCAGTGGAGGAGGGATAGTCATTTTCTACCCTTCTGAAATCTAATTTGAACAGGCCGGGACACTGAAGTGGAGGTGTGATATTGAAGCATGACTCAGATAAACATACATTGTCCTTTGTTGGTTTAAGCCTCTCTTGGTCTGCATGCGCAAGAAAAAAATTACAAGTAACTTACAGATGTGCTGACGAGGAAAAATCATGTTTTTTTTTTAGAGAAGTGTGTTGTGTGGTTTCTGTATCTAGTTCCGCCATTCTTTGGTGTCCTTGTATTGTAGAAGTACAGGGGAAGTGCTTTGCAAGGTATTCACTCTCCCTCTGGCAGTAAATAATGGTAGAGGCCTCATGGAAGAAACATCATTTTTTACTGTATATTCCTTTGATTTATCTTCCTGACATGTGTGGTATTGATTAACAGCATGTGGAGGTGCAAACAGTGTTCCATGATGAAGTAATGTTAATATACTGTATGCAATGCAAGAAAATAGATTCATTGTTGATTACAATTTTTGCTGTTTTTGTTGTTTATATAAAACAAAGACTAGAGAGCAGAAAACAAAAAAAGGGGATAAAGCATTCACTATGAAGTATCTTCCCATCCCTTGAGCCTGGGGTTCACATCAAATTAAATTTGCCATTCATCTCTTTGAAAAGTCAGTCACTGAACACTGTAGGGTCAAATGATACGATATTCATTAATGCAAACTGAGTGCTTTAAATGTTCATATATATGTCACTCTATGTTTCACTAGAGAGACCTTCCAAGAATGTGTTTCTTCCCCTTGCCTTACAGTTTTCTGATTACTTTAAGCTCCTACATCTTCCCCCCTCTCCTGCCCACAATCATCCCTCATCTTTGCACAAGTGTTGACGTTTGTGTTAAATAGCTTGCCAACAGAAAGTGGCATGTTCATTTGTCTTAACTACAGGCAAATGCACATAAAATGCTTGGGTAAATAAACACCTGGCTGGTAAACCATTGGATAATTAATGTTGCACCTAAGTCTATTTTTCATGCTGTTGTTTTAATGTAAAGATGTTAATTACTTTGGCCTCTGTAAGGATTCAGCTCGTGCTGCTTTGGACATCCCAGGGCAAGATTTGAAAAACTATGCAATTAGTTTCAAAGTTTCACAAACAACCCTTGTAGCAGTTCATTAACTAAGAATGCAAAGATGGTTTTCTTGTGCTGTAAAAATTGTAAAGCCCTTTCAAGATACAAATTGTTTCATGATTTGCTTTTTACAGAAAGGAGACCATTGTTTTGTTTATCTTATTGTTTTTGTTGTCCAGGTTTGATACATTATGCTAACGAATATAGAATAATGCAGTATGCTCAGAAGTCATGAGGTTTTTATATTTTGAAAGTTTTATCCAAAGCATTTCAGAAAATGTGTAAACATCTAAAGCTGTCTGAGATGTTTGAGATGATGACTCACTCTAAACATTGAAAGAAAAAAGTTTAAACATAGCAAAGTTTACTGTTAGCTCTAGAATACTAACAGCAAACATTCTGGCACAGGAACACCTGAAACACCACACAGAACAACACGCTTTTCTGAGTATGCGTTTGTTTTGTAGAATAGAATAAAATAGAATAGATCCAAGAATCCAAGAGTCACTGTGTGCTTTTCCCCTGTCATATCAGTGAGGTGTTGTACAGTCGTATGGCCAGGGGGACAAAAGAGTTGTTGAGTCTGTCTGTGGAGCACTGAACACACTCCTCTGCCTGGTGAAGGTGCTGTGCAGAGGGTGGTGGGTGTTGTCCATGATGGAGAGCATTCTGTTCAGGGTCCTTCTCTCTGCCACTGTCACTAGAGAGTCCAGCTCTGCACCCACCACAGAGCCAGCCTCCCTCATCAGTCTGTTCAGCCGTGCTGCATCCCTCTTCTTGCTGCTTCCTCCCCAGCACACCACAGCATAGAAGATGACACTGGCCACCACGGACTGGTAAAACATCTGCAGCAGTTTTTTACAGATGTTGAAGGACCCCAGCCTTCTCAGGAAGTACAGACGGCTCTGTCCCTTCCTGCAGATAGTGTCCATGTTTGATGACCAGTCCAGCCTGTCGTCCAACTGCAGCCCCAGGTACCCGTAATTCCTGACCACCTCCACGTCGACCCCCCGATGGAAACAGGTTGGGGATGTGGCTTGTTCCTTTGGAAGTCCACCAGCATCTCCTTGGTCTTGGAGGTGTTCAGCTGCAGATGCACAACATCACAACCAGGCTCCTGTACTACTCCTCCTGTCCATCCCTGACACAACCAACTATCACAGTGTCATCTGAGTATTTCTGCATGTGGCAGAGCTCAGAGTTATACTGGAAGTGAGAGGTATGCAGGGTGAACAAGACAGGGGAGAGCACAGTCCCCTGGCTCACTGGGTTTTTTGTTATTGGGGACCAGGGTGAGGCACGAAGTCTTCCAGAGCACAGGGACCCTCCCAAGCCGCAAGCTCATGTTGAAGACATGAGTTCTTGAGTTCCCCCTGCACGCTTCAGCTCTGCCTGGTCTCCTTCCTTGAATGCCCTCTTCTTCCTGTTAAGGATGTCCTTGACATTAGTGATAATCCAGGGCTTGTTGTTAGGGAAGAGGCGCACAGTTTTTGTGGGAACTACAACATCCATAGAGAAGTTCATGTAGTCAGTTGTGCCGTGTGTGAACCCCTCAATGTCCTCACCATGTGGCTCTTGCAAGGCGCTCCAGTCAGTGGACTCTAAAAAAAAACTGTCTCAGAGCCTCCACTGCCTGAGGAGACCACTTTCTGAAGGTTCATGTGGTTGATATATATATATTATTAAATTTAAAAGTCTTGGTAATAACTACGTGCCGAGTATAATGATAAGGGATGCAGGAACCAAAATTTTAGGTTCTTTAGTATTACAGATTTCCACGATGGTGTTGTATAATAAAGTCCATAATTTTAAAAGATCTTTGACTTTTTTATTTGATTTGTTAATTATGTTTTTTTTTTATGTTTTCAATAGACTAAATAAATATACATACACCATTAATTCTTGTGTGTTATTTTTATACATGAAACAACCTAATTAAAAGCGATGCTAACTTTGCCAAACCCTATCGCGACACTCTCTCCAGGCTCTCTTAAAACAGAAATAAAATATTCTGTGTTCCAGTCACACAAGTTGTAATATCACTGAACAGATAATGCAAGAAGACCTACAGTATTTGCTACATGCAGTAGAGAGTATGATTGCTGAGCTAAGTTTCAGGAAATTATAAGAAATCATAATGGAAACCATCAATAAGTAAATCAATACAACCACAAAAGAATGTGAAAAAGAGCTGTCATACACCTGTCTTAAATAAAATAAAAACAATTTAACCGCTAATTATTTTTCCTTAAATCTGTTTGCCAAAAAATTCCCTAATATAAAAAATCACTGTAAAACAGTATTTAAAAAAAAATGTTTTTTCACTAAATGATATTAATCAAAAAAGAGATGCTCCTTATTTTGACTTAGGATCCGCCCCCCCCCCTACACATTTCGTACTTTTATTTTGAAGGTCAATCTGCGCCTCCGGTTCACGTACCAGGAACAGCTTATATAAAGCCTCACTCACCTAAACTATACAATTGTTTTATATGACTAATTGACGTTCACGTGAAACGGGTCAGGCAAGCTTTACATATTTGATGAAGCTGTGCAACGATTCATTGACGTTGTTTCTCTTGTCGTGATGGCTGTAACTCTGTTTGTTCTTTTTGTACTTCTGCTTTCTAGTCACGAGGCTGGTGAGTAAAGTGTCTTCTAGTGTGTGATTACTAGTAAAATAAATATATATATATATATATAAGACTTTTAGAGCGCTTTTCTGAGTAGTCCACTCAGCGATGCCTAACAAAGAATAACAACAAAACAAAACAGTGAAAACAATACAACGAAGAAATTGTCATGATTTGGTCTTATTTAGTTTTGTATTTCAGTATTTAGGTTTCCATGTTTTGCTTTCTCCTGTTCTTCCCTAGTGTTGCTGGTTTTTCCCTTGTGTGTTTCCTAGTTTAGTCTTCAGTGTTATTTTGTAATTTCAAATCCTTGTGTCCCTCTCGGTTCTAGTGTGTCTTGATGACTAACAGTGTCTTCCGTGTTTCTTCTATGTATTTTGTAGTTGTCCTCAGTGTTTCTTGTTCTGCCTCTGTGTGTTTCCCTCCAGTTTAATTACCCTCATCGTCTTCACCTGTGTCTTGTGAGTGTCACCTGTGTCTTGTGAGTGTCACCTGTGTCTGATTACCCCATGTCTATTTAGTCTCTGTGTTTCTTGCCCACTATGTTAGTTCATTGTCGTTTGTAGTTATGTCAGATGTTAGTTTTCCTTGTGCTCCCAGTGATTCCTCGTGGCTACCTTTATTACATTTCGTCTTTTCAATAAAGTAAGTTTTTGTTTAAATATTTTTATTTTTTCATTCTGCACTTGGGTCCAGTTCCTGATTTTTCCACACCCGTGACAGAAATACCGGAGTGAAGATAGTTTCATATTTAACATTCGCCTGTTTTCGCGTCGATTACCTTTAATAGCACCGTGTAAAGCCTCGATTTCTCACAGTTTGGGGATATGTTGGAGAGCACATTAAGACAGACGTTTCACAGTTTTGATAAACTTCAAATAACCAAAGATGACGATGCAGCTGGGAGCGCAAAGAACTTAATGTCTGTCCAACGCGCTGGTGACTATAGGTGGAGTTAGGGACCGTCGTAAAAGTGCAATACGGCTCATTTCAATCTTCAATAATTTATTTCTTTCAAAATAGACATCTCAATCCACTGCTATTATAGAAGGTGACAGCCCTTAACATTTAACTTAACTCTGCATATCATCATGATCAATGACATATTGCCTTAAATAAGCACATTTCAAGGTATAATCTCAAAGATTTCTCATTTTTGAATTTATCGAAATCAAATCACGTGTCCTGGACATCCTCTCACAACTTTTGTGTTGGACAGACATTGAGTTCTTTGCGCTCCCAGCTGCATTGTCATTTTTGGTTATTTGAAGTTTATCAAAACTGTGAAACGTCTGCCTTAATCTGCTCTCCAACATATCCCTAAACTGTGAGAAATCAAAACTTTACACGGAGCTATTAAAGGTAATCAATGCGAAAACAGGCAAATGTTACAATGTACTTAGAAAATGCTTTTATCCAAAGCAACGTACAGAGATTAAGTACAACAGTAATCCATTCATACTGGATTGTTCAGTGGGTTAAGTGTTGCTCAGCTGGAGATTGAACCCTCGACCTACTGGTTGAGAGGCGACGACGCTACCAACTGAGCCATAGCCACCCTATGGCTGTTGGGAATGTTAAATGAGACTGTCTTCACTCCGGTATTTCTTCGTTGTATTGTTTTCACTGTTTTGTTGTTGTTCTTTGTTACGCAGTTGTTTCTGAGTAGACTACTCAAAAAATAATTACATTAAGTATCACTTTCACTTTTATTATAACCATGAATTAGTTATTCATCATTTTATGTAACTGCTAAGGAAAGGGTAAACATATTTGTGTACCTAGATGGGATCCTGCGCTTTGCCTCCTACTATGGAGACCATATGGTCCTGCAGAAGTCTCCAGAGAGAGCGGTGCTGTGGGGCTATGGCCCTGAAGATGCTCATGTCTTCCTCCTCTTGATCGGACCAACAAATCAGAAAGCTTCACCTGTCAATGTGACAAAAGGCCAGTACAACCTGTTGTCATGTGAAGATGTGGGCAGATATGACAGAAACCACATAACTCATAAGTTGTTCACAACTATCTTTTACAGGACTGACACAGCTACTATGTCACAAAATGTGAAAAAAAAAAAAAACTGAACTAAAAAGCAAGTTTCACTCTGAACGGCATTAAACTTCCTCATACGCATGGTGTCCAAAAATGCCTCTCTAATCTCCTCCTCCTCAATCTGCATACAGACCTTATAAATTACATTTTATTTGTAGACAAATATCACAAGTTTGCCAAAAGGAACTTTACAATCTTATTAAGAACTGCCCTTAGACCCCCCCACCTCCCCCCCCAAAAAATTGTTTGATATTAATGACTGACTTTACAGGTATCTGGAGGGTCACCATTGACCCTGTTGAAGCTGGTGGTCCCTACACTGTGATAGTAGCCACTGAGAATAGCACAGCCACTCTGACTGATGTGCTGTTTGGAGATGTTTGGCTGTGTGGAGGACAGAGCAACATGTACTTTAATATGTCGCAGGTGGGCTGTCTGTCTTTCCTACAAACTTTTAAGATATACTTTATTAATCCAGAGAGGGGAAATTCAATTTTACACTCTGTTGTTGAACATGCTACACACATGCACAAACAGGATCCTAGGGACATGCATTAATGGGGAGATGTCAGAGTGAGGGGGCTGCCCACAGCCATCGTTCCTGAGCGCGGTGGGGGGATTTGGAGCCTTGCTCAAGGGCACCTCTACAGTGCTCAAAAAGGGAACTGGCACATTGCCAGCTGACCAGAGCAATTTCTGGATTTGGTACCTTCAAGGACTTAAACAGCATCCCTCTGGTTTCCATTCCAAGCCTTATAGACTGCCACCCCCAGCTTATTCTTATACTTGTTATAACACACTAAACATATGATGTTTGAATCAGTTAAGTTGACTTTATGAATAGTTTGGTGAAACAGAATTGGGTTGCAAGATGTCAGGAAGATAATTAATGGGTATTCCAGTAGCTCACCTCATAAAGCCCCATATACCTCAAAGGTGTGTGTGTGTGTGTGTGTGTGGGGTGTGGTGTTGTGTGTGTGTGTGTGTGTGTGTGATTATGGCAAGTCGTTAAGGAAATTAATATATTGAATGAAACCTTGAATATATGGAATGAAGTCTGAATATATAGAATTGAAGCTGATTTCAATTCTCCAAATCCACCAGTTTCATTGTTGTCATCCAAAAGACACCCTGCTGAATATGCTGGTTCTACAAAATGACATCAGCTGAAATATACCAATACTTTGTTGAACTTCAAAACTTCTTTGAAACAGTTGGTTGTACTCAAAATGTTATGAATAATTTGGAATATAGAATGTGTCACCTTGAAGATCATACTTCAATTATTGGAACACTTTTACTGCTTATGAGTAGTAATGTTCAACAATCATTTCTGAGCGCACGCCAATATATTAATTTCTGGAACTTTCCATATGAACGGCGGCCATAATTAGTGTGTGTGTGTGTATATATATATATATATATATATATGTGTGTGTGTGTCTAATTATGGCAAGCCGTTCAGGAAATTAATATATTGAATGAAACTTTGAATATATGGAATGAAACTTTGAATATATTGAATGAAACTTTGAATATATGGAATGGAACTTTGAATATATGGAATGAAACTTTGAATATATGGAATGAAACTTTCAATATATTGAATGAAACTTTGAATATATGGAATGAAACTTTGAATATATTGAATGGAAGTCTGTAGTGTTATTTCAGCTAACAACTCAGAGACTAAAAAAATCCCTAAAGATGGATGTACAAAGTGCGCTCAGCAATGATTGTTGAACATTACTACCCATAAGCAGTAAAAGAGTTCCAATAATAATATAATAATTATGATCTTCAAGTTGATGCATTCTACATTCCATATTATTCATATCATTTTGAGTATGACCAGCAACTTTTCAAAAAAGTTTTGATGTTCAAGAAAGTATTGGTATATTTCAGCTGATGTCATTTTGCAAAACCAGCTTATTTAGCAGGGTGTCTTTTGGATGACAATGAAACTGGTGGATTTGGAGAATTGAAATCAGCTTCAATTCAATATATTCAAAGTTTCATTCAATATATTCAGACTTCATTCAATATATTAATTTCCTGAAAGGCTTGCCATATCTAATGAACTCCCTTTTATTTATTTATCCAACAGATTTTCAATGCATCCGAGGAGCTGGCCATTGCAGCAAAGTTCCCCCATGTGAGAACTTTTATGGCAGGATTGATAGAGAGTAAAACGGAGCTCACTGATTTGACTAAAGTGGAGCTTCCCTGGGCCGTGCCTACAGAAGGTCTGTCAGGGCAGGGTTTAATAATTTATTCATAGATTTGTCTTAAGACTCTTTTTCAGCTAAATGTTTTGATTTGGGGACTCAGAATACAACTGAGACAGTTTTAAAAAACAAAGCTCTGTGATACATGGTAAATGGACTTGAGCTTGTATAGCGCTTTTCTAGTCTTCTGACTACTGATAGGAAATTGTATATTTCCCCCCTAAATATAACTGTCAGCTAGACTCTGCTGGGGCAGATAGTGTTGTAAAACATTGTAAATGTATTTTTTTTTTTTTAAATAATGTAAACCATGATACCTTTCGTTCATCAGCGTCCTTCTGCCTGTTTGCATTTTCAGAATCTGTGGCACCTTTCTCTGCAGTGTGCTGGCTCTTTGGTCGTTACATGTACAAGTACCTGAATTACCCAATAGGACTGTTGAGTCCTGTTGGGGAGGCACACCTGTTGAGGTCTGGTCATCTTCAAGAGCACTGAAGCATTGTGGACTGGAGGAACCTGAAGATGGGTAGGATATGAGAAAAAGGGCACTTACCTGCTACCTGATTTGTGTTTTTTTCAGTTGGGATGTGTAATCCACCATGTTACACACTTTTGTCAAACAAGAGATTTAAATAACTACACTGTTGCTACTTGTTGCACATATATTTTTATT